AATTGAGACGTTTTGTCCAGTTTTCCTCTCCATTTAATATGGTTAAAATGACCATTTGATATATAATTTACTGTCTTGAATTTTGCTGGATTGTTCCTAGGGCCTGTTCCACCTTAAGAGAACTCAGGGCTTCAAGTCTGCCAAGCAAGTGTTTTACTGCTTGAGCCATGCCTCCAACTCCATTTTTGCTGTTTAGTTAAGATCTAGCTTCCCATCCAGGCATGCACCTAGACTTCTTTTTATTTTTTACTTTTTACTTTTTTTTTTTTTATTTGTCAGTCATGGGGCTTGAACTCTGGGCCTGGGTGCTGTCCCTGAGCTCTTCAGTTCAAGGCTAGCACTCTACCACTTGAGCCACAGCACCACTTCCGGTTTTCTGGTAGTTTATTGGAGATAAGAGTCTCACAGACTTTCTTGCCCAGGCTGGCTTTGAACCTCGATCCTCAAATATCAGCCACCCAAGTAACTAGGATTATAGGCGTGAGCTCTTCTTTTTATTTTTATAATTGTTATTATAAATTTATACAGAGGGGCTACAGTTATATAAGTCAGATAATGAGTACATTTCTCTTTGGACAATGTCACCCCTTTCCTGGCTCTCTCCCAATTTTTCCCTCCCATTCCCACCCACAAGTTGTATAGTTCATTTTCCACAGTGTCTAGTGAGTACTAATGCTACATTTATTCATCCTTTGTCCCTCCATTTTTATGCTCCTCTTACCCTCCCAAAGGGAGAGTAAAAGCATTGAGAAAAAAATCCTCTTGTTTCCATTTTCTGTAGTTTGTTTTGCTAAATATTATTTTATATGATCAGAAGCACATAGACATTGTACCCTTGTATTCCTCCCCTAGGAGTAAGCCTTTGTATGTGAATGTGCACCTGGACTTCGATCCACCTATTTTAGGCTTCCTGTAGCAGATGAGATGGCCGGCATGCACAGCCGTGTCCAACTTCTCGTGGAGAAACAGTCTTGCAGACTTTCTGCCTGGGATGGCCTGGAACGATAAGCCTCCTAATTTCAGCCTCTTGTGTATACCTTAGGATGGCAGGCATGTGCTGTTGTGCCCAGCTATGTATTGAGAAGGAGGTCTTAATGAACTTTCCTGCCTCCCAAGAAGCTAAGATTACAGGCGGGAGCCACTGGCAGGCACCTGGCTCAGCCTCTTAATTTAAGAAAGTGTCAGGAATGGGTGGACTCCCCCCATTTTCTCCCTATGAAATCCAGTCCAGAAGTCCCAACATATGGAATTCAAATGTTTGAATTCCCAGCTATGGGCTGGGCCTGGTGCTGGGTTCTAGGAAACACTGGTAAGGCCAAACAGCCTGTGCCACCTCAAAACCTCCAGTCACCCAGCGCAGAGACAGGAAACGTGTAAGCACTTCATGCAGAGGCTCCATTGCAGGCTCTGACACACAATTCCTATCTGGAGTATGTTTTTTAAATCCTGCTGTAATAAATACACAGGCCAAGACAGAGTGGTGTGGTAAGTATGGAAAGGAACTCAAGCTTAATTACTCAAGAGAAAACCTGCTGAGCACTGGTGGCTCTCTCCTGTAATCCTAGCTATTCAGGAGGCTGAGATCTGAGGATCATAATTTAAAGCCAGCCCAGGTAAGAAAGTCCATGAGACTTATCTCCAATGAACCACCAAAAACCCAGAAGTGGAAGTGTGGCTCAACTGGCAAACAGCTAGTCTTGAACAGCACCCATGCCCTGAGTTCAAACCCAGCACTGGCACACACACACACAGAACTCATAACTACTAGAACAAGCAACTAGAGAGGAAAAGACTGCAGCTACCAAGTGCTGGTGTGGTGTGGAGCCCATGCCAGTGCAGAACAGAACCAGTGCTGAGAGAAGGTTCTAGGCAGTGACTTTGGCCCTCTGGCGCCTCAGGTCCAGAGCTGACAGATGGCCATGCCTAGTTCACAAGAAGCCAGGCCCAAGGAGATTCAGAGAAGCTGCATTCATAAAATCCCCGCACAGGAAATGATGGATATGGACAGGTCGGCGGGGGGCTGAGGAGGAGCGCATGCATCGTGGTGCAGTGCTAGAACCCGGCTCTATTCAGCCATGCGGGTCTGTGACCAGCTGCAGCCCGCAACCCGCCCGCTGTGGAGGGTGGGTGGGCCGCGCAGGCAGCTGTGGAGCAGCGAAGCTGGGCTGGGAGCCCCATCCCGACTCCACATGCTCAAAGTTCAAGGGGACACAGTCAGAATGGGACTGGGGGCGTGGCTCAAGTAGTAGCATACTTTATCTGGCAAACTCAAGGCCATGGGTTCAATCCCCAGTACTGTGGGCTGTGTAGTGGGGGGCAGGGGGGGAAATGATACTTTGGGGTGCTCTAGAGATGTTTTCTGTTAACTTGGGTGGAGCTTACATGATAAAAAAAACCTGCATGAATTTGTAAACAGGATTTATAGGGTTTGGATATGAAGCGTCCCCCTAAAAGGCCCTACTCAGGGGCCTGGTCCCCAGCGAGGGGCGCTGGGGAGAGGAATTGGCTGCTGAGTGTGCTAACCTCATTTATAGCCAGATGAGCCGGGGAGGGGCAGGCATGGCGGAAGTAGGTCAGCAGGGACTTGCGCTGTGAACTCTGTCCTTGTCCCCTCCCCCGCCACTCCCTCAGCACCGGCCACCATCCAAAGCACAGCTGCGAGCCAAAGTAACTCTCCACTCCTTTTAAGTCATCTTCTCAGTGTGTGTGTCTGTGTGTCTGTGCACCTGTGTGTGCACGCGTGCGTGGCACTTGTGCATGCACTAGTACCAGGGTTTGATCTCAGGGCCTCACACTGTTGCTTGGCTTTTTCACTCAGGGTTGGCACACTACCACTTGAGCCATACTTCCACTTCTGATTTTTGCTGGTTACTTTGAGATAAGAGTCTCTTGGGTTTGTCTGAATTGTCAGAATCATGATCCTCAGATCTCAGCCTCCCGGGAAGTGAGGAAGTATGAGTCTGGCTTCACTGGTATTTTCTCACAGCAATAAGCAGCTGACTAACAACACACTTCAGTGTGTGTGTTAGTCCTTAAAAACATTAATGAAACAAAGGGGAAACTGGGAAAGAGGGAGGGAAGAGGTGACATTGTCCAAAAAGAAATACACTTTTTGTTTTTGCTGGTCCTGGAGCTCAAACTCTGGACTTGGGCACAGTCCCTGAGCCTTTTGCTCAAGAGTAGTGCTCTACCACTTGAGCCACACACCACTTCTGGCTTTTTCTGTGATTAATTGAAGATAAGAGTCTCACAGACTTTCCTGCCCAGGCTGTCTTCCAAATGGGATCCTCAGATCTCAGCCTCTTGAGTAACTAGGATCACAGGCGTGAGCCACCGGCACCTGGCCTAAGAAATATACCCTTTACCTGACATGTAACTGCAGCCCCTCTCTTAGCACCTTTATGATGATAATACAAATAAAAGATAAAAAAATTAACAAAAATGTGAAGAGATACTTTCATAAAAATATGAGTGCTAATAAGAAATAAAAAGTGATGGCTAGGAGGTGGCTCAGTGGTAGAGTACTTGCTTTGCATGCATGAGGCCCTGAGTTTGATTTCTCAGCACCACATAAGCAGAAAAAGCAGGAAGTGGCGCTGTGGCTCAAGTGGTAGAGCGCTAGCCTTGAGCTGAAGAGCTGAGGGACAGCGCCCAGGCCCAGAGTTCAGGCCGCACAACTGGCAATACATAAATAAATAAAAAGTGATATGATAAGGGTCAGAGCATGCCTAGCAAGCTCAAACATGTAAATTCAAATCTCCAGTACTGTGAGATAGAAAGGAAAGAAAGAAAGAAAGAGAGAGAGAGAGAGGAAGGAAGGAAGGAAAGAAGAAAGGAAGAAAAAGGAAAGAAAGAGAAAGCACGTGAGCAGTGAGAGGTGGGTGGAGGTGTGACTGGCTGGCTGAGGCTGGAGTGGAGATGAGCCCTCCGCGAGGGAGTAGTTTCAGGATCAAGTTTGGTCCGCTGAGGGAAGCTAGCCAAGCCCAGGAGCGGGGAGTTGAGCATGGATGGGGAAACCCTTAGTCTGCCTTTTTGTCCTAAAAATGGTAGGAAACCATAAAATGCAAGGAGTATCAGGGCTTTCTGAGGGCTTGGGGGTGGGGAGTGAAGGAAGGAGGGCGATCTTCGATGATTTCATTGTGAGGCTGGGGTCTCCAGAAGGTGGGGGCTGGGCTGGGCAGGCAGGAGAGGCCTGGAAGGCCGGACATGCTTTGGCGGCCCGAGCTGAGCTGCTCGCACGTTCTAGCCCAGGGAGCTGTGAGTGAGTGAATGGTGGCCAGGCCCGCGCTGGAGGGGAAGCAAGTTCAGGGGTGACCTCCAAGCACCAGGCCCAAAGCCCGCTTGGGAGAGCCGAGGGCAGAGACGAGATGACACCGGCATTTTCTGGAAAGACGCACAGCTGTCTTGAATGGAAACTTCTCGAAAGGGCTTCTGTGATGAGCTCTTCTGAGCACTTGCTCCTGGCCCAGCTCAGAGAACCCAAATGTAAAGTGAACTTGGCTGTGGCCGGTGGCCTGGGCCGTGTCTCCTGTGCCAGGTCCTGAGCCACGCGAGAGCCCCGGGCACCGTGGCCAGAGGCGCCTGCCTCTCCCACCTTCCCTGGGGGGATTCTGCACTGTGGAATCCAGAAACTTCTCACGTCCAGTGGCTCAGCAGTACCTGTGGGAGATGTGTGTCCTCACATGTGTGTGTGTGTGTGTGTGTGTGTGTGTGTGTGGGAGAGAGAGAGAGAGAGAGAGAGAGAGAGAGAGACTGACTTCCTTTTCCCTCTCCAAGGGTGGGGCTGCTCCCAGGTTCAGGACAGCGGGTCTGTTCTGAGTGTGTGTGTGTGTGTGTGTGTGTGTGTGTGTGTGTGTGTGTGCCTGTGGGGGGCGGGCACGGTGTCCCAGGAGGACAGAGTTTGCATTGATGAAAATCCTTCCCTGCTCTCTGAAGCCTCTTGCCCCTGCCCAGCAGCGCAGTCCTGGGCGTCCGGCTGCTTGCTGGCGGCCATGGCGGGGATGGCGTCCTGTGCGGCCCTGCGCCTGGCGCTGCTGCTCGTCTCCGGGATCCTGGCCCCCACGGTGCTCACAGGTGAGGGACGTGGGCCCTTGCCTCTGCCCTCCAGGCCGCCAGGGCTAGGAACTCTGGGGTGGCCTGATCCCTAGGCTCTGGTGGGCGCAAGCCCCTCACGGGGGATGGGGTGGCCTTCTGGGGGGATCGGGCTGGGAATCCCGCAGGCCGCGCCCATGTGGCTGCAGGGATGGTGGCTCCTGGGAGGAGGGCACCTGGGGCGCTGAACTGGGGCGCTGTCTGGGGGTGTAGGAGTTGCTTTAGCATCCCAACACCTGGGAGGCAGGGGAACTAGACACAGGGCAGCTGGCTCCAAGGTTCTGGGGCCCAGGTGGTTGCTGCTGGGGTCTGTGGAAAGGGGGTCCCAGCAGGTTCCTGGGACCCAGTGCTGGGGTGCTGGGTGGGGGGGAGTCCTGAAAGGCAGAGACTAACACAAGAAAGGCGGGCTGTGCTCCAGAGGAAAGCCATCTGCAATTTTGGGGCCACCTCAGGGTTGCTCAGCCTTATCCTGTGTCCCTAGATCTAAGGCTGTGCAGCCTGGACTCTGGGGGTGTCTCTGGATCTGAGGGGTGGTGGGCGAGTGGACGGGAGAGAACAGCGGCACCGAGGGGCCGTGGGTGGCGGTGGAGGCCACCCGGCCTCTCCAGCCGCCGCCTCTGCGAGACACAGCACGGCCACTGGCCTCTGACCTGGGAGCCACGAGGCCTCGGGATGATCAGACATCAGTCGCACTGAGCAAGGGTGGGGGGTGTGCACGCATGGCCCCCGCCCCTCCACAGGGCAGGGCATGGTGGGGTCTCATGGTCAGGAGAGGCTCAGCTTCCTGGAGATGGCAGTGCCCAGGGCCTTTGCATCTGTCATCCTGGGTCTTGGGGCTGAAATCCCTGCAGGCCCCGCCCGTGTGCGCCCCCCTCCAGCCAGCCCTGTGGCCACCGCTCCTGATGGTCTATGTCTGGGTTCCTGCCGTCTCTTCCCACCCAGAGCCCCGGTCAGCCTGCAGAGACACAACAGGGCTGGGTGGGCTTTGCCCACGAGTGTTTGGGGACAGCCAAGCCCTCTCCCTTCCCCACCACCAGCAGGCAGGCTCGGGGCAGGGGTCCAGGGCCAGCTAGCCCCATCTAGATCTCAGCGGGGTTCAGGCTGCTGTTCTGGCCATTCCGGAAGGTTCTCAGAACCAGTGGTGGGGTAGAAGCTCTGAGCAGCTGTGGACGGGCCTGCGAGCCCCTACCTCTTGCCTGGGCTGGGGTCCTGCAGCAGGCGAGGAGGGACGCAGGCAGGCTCGAGGCAGAGCCCAGGCCGGGCCAGTGGCCGGGCGCTGAGGTGGGGAGCAGGCCAGGTTGGGCGGGCGGGTGGCCAGGTTGGGGATGAAAAGGCTCTTCATGCCACACAAAGGCTGTCTGTGCGCATGGCGCCTGCCTCAGGACCCTGTGGTCAGACTGGGCGCTGAACAAACTTATTGACCGAATGGCAAGGCAACTGGTGCAGGCGGAGGGGGTGCTGGGGGACAGTGAGGGGTGCCCGGGCCTGTGGCAGTGCCACCAGACCCTCCCCTGCCCTGCTTGCCTCAGCCAGTGTGAAGTCCCACGACGCTGGCCATTCTGCCCACGGGATATGGTCTCCTCGTGGCCACAGGGGTTGTCTGCTGCCCCCCCCCCGCCCAAGTCCTTAGCCTGCCATTTCTGCTGCCACTTCTGTCCCTGGCCTCCCCGGGGAAGGGGGGAGGGAGGTCAGGCTGCAGCCCTTAAACTTGGTCCTTCTTCTTTTGGAGAAGTTTGGAGAACACGACATGCTGGGCCTGGTCCCAGCTGTAGCTTCTCCACTGGTGGCTTGGGGGGGCAGGGGGGCACGGGGGGGGGGGGGGTAGCCTGTGGCTGCAGACTCCACCCCGGCTGGCTGGGCCTGGCTTCCAGCAGCTCAGGGCACCTCCCTGGACAAACGCCCGGGACGGGAGGTGAGCTCTGGCCGGAGGAAGGGACAGGAAGGGGCCTGGCTGCCATCTGTCTTGGGTGCAGCGACAGCAGGCAGGGGCTGGTGGCGTGTCATTTTTGGGGACAGGGAATCTGCGAACTCTCAAGCCTGCCAAGGGTGGGCACGCAGGCCTCTGCACTAGTCTGGCGCTGGGTGATCTCCCATGGGGGCTGGAGGTTGTAGACCTCCAAGGGGGTCACGCCCCCCTCCTCTCCAGGTGGGGCCAGCCCAACGGGTCCCGGAGAGCAGTGCTGCAGTTCAGCCAGGGCCCTGAAACAAGGAAGATGCCACAAGGCGGAGGCGATGAGAGCCATGGGGGGGGGGGGGGGCTTTCCCGGGCTGCTGTCGCTGCTTTCTCACTGGGGGTTTTTGCTCTGGTTTGGGCAAGCTCTGGGAACAGGACAGAGGTTCCTGCCTACAATCTGAGCCTCAGAGGACCCTGTCCAGGCTTGGGTCTGGGGAGCCAGGGGTGTGGTAACATTTTGGAGTGAAAAGATTTTAATAGAAGAAAAGTTAACAACAACAAAAAAATAGCCTGACTTCTCAGTGCGGCGGCTGTCATCCCAGCTGCTCTCAGGAGGCTGAGGCCTTAACACCGTGGTTCAAAGCCAGCCCCGGCAGGAAAAAGTCTGAGAGACTCTACCTCCAATTACCTACGCCATAGGCGGAGCCGTGGCTCAAGTGGTAGAGCACTAGCCTTGAGCAGAGACTGCGCCAGGCCTGGAGTTCAAGTCCCAGGACCAGCGCACACACACGCACACACACGCACACGCACACACATGCACGCACACCACACACACACCACACATGCGCACACACGCACACACACGCGCGTGCGCACACACGCACACACACGCCCTGAACTCCAGCAGATCTAGACTTCACAATCATCAACATTCTGCCGCCTCTTGCCCCATCCCAGGCCCCAAATGGCGAGTGATCTCGAGGTGGCCACCAGCCAGCCTCGCGGACCCCGAGTTTCTCCTAAGGACAAGGTCCGAGTGCAGCTCCGCTGGGCGTCACCCAGGTCCCCGCTGTCTTCCGCGGTGGCCCCCGCATGCGCGTGGCCCGGTGACAGCCCGGACCCGTCTCCCCTGCTTGGTCTTCCAGCTGAGGGTCCGCAGGCGCCCGACCCCACCCTGTGGAACGAGCCCGTCGATCTGCCGTCGGGAGACGGCCCCGCGGAGAGCACGAGCCCCGGCCAGGAGCCCGCGGCCCCCGGACAGCCCACGCCCACCCTGGAGCCGGGCCCCGAGGACAGCACGGCGCGCGAGCCGCTGGACCCGGGCAGCGGTACGGGCCCGCGGGCGGGGAGGGCGGGCGGCGGGGGCCCGGGACCCCGGGGTGACGCGGCCTTCTGTCTCCGCCCCCCGCAGGCTCGCTAGGGCCCGGCGCCATCGCGGCCGTCGTGATCGCTGCCCTGCTGGCCACCTGCGTGGTGCTGGCGCTCGTCGTGGTCGCGCTGAGAAAGTTTTCCGCTTCTTGAAGCCAATAAAGGAGCCGCGTCCGCCTCGGCGCGGCTGGACGCGCTGCCTGTGTCCGCGTGCGTCCGTGCGCGCGCCCGTGCGAGCGTCCGTGCGCGAGCGCGCGCAGGTGCGTCGGGGGAGCCGGCCGGAGCCCGCGCGGGGGCGGGGCCGGAGCCAGGGTGGGCCGGGGGCGGGTCCTGGGGCGGAGCCAGCGTGGGTCGGGGCGGGGTCGAGGTGGCTGGAGCCAGGGCGGGGGCGGGGCCTGGGACCTGGGGCGGGGCCGGAGCTAGAGCGGGGGCGGGGGCGGGGGCGGAGCGCCTGTGCACTGAGTCCGGCCTGCGTGCGGGGCCGCGCCGCGCGTCCTCGCGCTCATCCCACGGCGGTCCTCCCGCCCGCCCGCAGGCCCGACGCCCCCTGCCCACCCCTCGCTGAGTGGAGGAGACGCCTGCTGGGGACGGGGTGGGGGCGGCTTCGGGGGCGGCGGCTCCCCCTCTGTGTCCTCCCCACTCCGGGCCATCACCTGGCCCCTCCGTGCCCTCCCCCCTCCGTGCCCTCCCCCTCCGTGCCCTTCCCCCTCCATGCCCTCCTCCCTCCATGCCCTCCTCCCTCCGTGCCCTCCCCCCTCCGTGCCCTCCCCCCTCCGTGCCCTCCCCCCTCCGTGCCCTTCCCCCTCCATGCCCTCCTCCCTCCGTGCCCCCCTCCATGCCCTCCTCCCTCCGTGCCCTCCCCCCTCCGTGCCCTTCCCCCTCCGTGCCCTCCCCCCTCCGTGCCCTTCCCCCTCCGTGCCCTTCCCCCTCCATGCCCTCCTCCCTCCGTGCCCTCCCCCCTCCGTGCCCTTCCCCCTCCGTGCCCTCCCCCCTCCGTGCCCTTCCCCCTCCGTGCCCTCCTCCCTCCGTGCCCTCCCCCCTCCGTGCCCTCCTCCCTCCGTGCCCTTCCCCCTCCGTGCCCTCCCCCCTCCGTGCCCTTCCCCCTCCGTGCCCTCCCCCCTCCGTGCCCTTCCCCCTCCGTGCCCTCCCCCCTCCGTGCCCTTCCCCCTCCATGCCCTCCTCCCTCCGTGCCCTCCCCCCTCCGTGCCCTCCCCCCTCCGTGCCCTTCCCCCTCCATGCCCTCCTCCCTCCGTGCCCCCCTCCGTGCCCTCCCCCCTCCGTGCCCCCCTCCATGCCCTCCCCCCTCCGTGCCCTTCCCCCTCCATGCCCTCCTCCCTCCGTGCCCCCCTCCGTGCCCTCCCCCCTCCGTGCCCTTCCCCCTCCATGCCCTCCTCCCTCCGTGCCCCCCTCCGTGCCCTCCCCCCTCCGTGCCCGCCCCCCTCCGTGCCCTCCCCTCTCCGTGCCCTTCCCCCTTTCTAGCTCTCCCCCCTCTCTGCCTGCCGCTCTTGGGGCGAGGGACTTGATCATTTGAGGCTCTAATGGAAGCAGAGCGCCTCCCCAGAGCTCTTGGAGCCCAGCCTGGGCCTGGTTTAGAGCAAATGGCAGATGCCAGACTGCGGTTCTAGGGAACCCTGCCCCCCTTGCTTTTAACCATTCCCCACAGCTACCTCGGCCACTGCGGCGGCCCTGAGCCCTGTGGCACCTTTTTCTGCCGGTGCGCCCCCTCTCCCCCCATCAGCGCAGACCCATCCGAGGGCTCAGCTTCCCACCCCAGCAGGCGCCCCTCGAGCCCAGGCTGGGCCCTGTGGACCAGGGCTGCAGAGGTGACACTTTCAAGGCTGCATTGTATTTCCCTCACCTCAAATAGCAACCAAGCGTGCTGCGTGCAAAGACCGAGCTGGGGCCTAGGCACCCCCCCCCCCCAAGCCAGCTCCTCCTGGACTGCCCTGCTCCCCAGCCAGTCCTTCCAGGGACACTCCAAGGCCAGAGGTAGCCCATCACCCTCTGCAGCCTGTGGGTGCCAGCAAGCTGAGACCCCCCACTCCAGTGCCCCCCCATGGCTCTGGATGATGGGGGGGGGGTTGCCGGCCCAGGTGAGAGCTGCAGCCCCTGGGGGTCGCGGCCATTCAAGGCAGGGTGAGGTGGCAGGGTCCAGGCAGCCCGGAGCCCACGGACAGCCCCGTGCCCCCTGGCCCTGCAAACCTGCTCTTCTTCAGCAGCAGGACGGCCTCGTGCCCCGCACACGCCCCTCTCCACGCCCTGCCCACAGAGGCCGCGGCCCTCACCCACGCTGGGGCCTGCTCTGGCCCCTCTGACCCAAAGGCTGCTCCCCCATCCAGCCTGCCACCAGACGCGTTCTCGTGTGACCTGGGCGATAAAGAGACCTGCCTTCCTTTTACAGATGCTTCTTTAATGCAGCCAAAAATGATGTTTGCTTTTCTCAGAACCAGAACCATACGATGCAGCGACCAATACATTCCCATCAGCACCCGTGGGCTCCCCAGGGGCCGGAAGACACAAGGGACATCCAGCCCCCAGGGGCACCATGGGTGGCCCGGGCCTGTAGCAGGCAGGGCCAGGACGGGAGGAGGGCAGGAGGGGGGGCTCCCTCAGGCAGTGGCAGCCCGTCGGGGTCGTCCTGGCAGGCGCTGATGGCTTGGGGGTGGGGAGGGGACACGTGCAGGCCTGTGGTCAAACTTCTGCTTGCCCCCTCCCAGGGACCCCTGCACCCGGGGCCTCTTTGGTCACCTCCTTCGCAGGGGCAGGAGGGAGGCGGAGGTAAGGACTGTCAGTTCTCTTCCTCCTGGCTCTGTGTGCAAGCGCAAGAGCAAGCGAGGGGCTCGGGGCCTGGGGCGCGAGCATTCAGCAGGGCGGGTGGCAGGGGGGAGGCGGGGCAGTGCCTGCTCCTCCCCCCAGCCCTCCTGGTCTGCCCCCCCACCCCTGCCACATCCCAGCTCTCGGCTAGCGCTGGCCCTGGGGGGTCATTGCCGGTTTCTGCTGCCCAGCTTCCGGCGGTCCTTGTTCTGGCTGCGCTGAGGGTCTTCCATCTTGTGGACTCGGAAACATTCCTTGAGGTTCTGGGAGCGGATCTTGGGGTTCAGGATTTCCTCTGTCATGGAGCTGGGGAACCAGCCTCTCTCCTGGTCATGCAGACGCTCGCCAAAGATCCAACCTGCAAAGAAGCAGGGGCTTGGTCTCCGCGGTGCTGGGGGGGGACAGTGCGGGGCCTCCCTCCTCCCCTCCCCCTCAACTCCTGACTGTGGGGAGGAGGCGGCATCGCTCAGCACACCGCGCCTCACACTGGGACGGGCTGTGCCCCAGCCAGCACCTTCCAGAAGTGGGGACTGCAAGCTCTGAGTCCTAGGCTGTCCCCTAAGGGGGCCAGGACCCCCCAAAGATCTCCCAGAAAGAGAGTCTGCCAAGAGGCCATGGGCGGCCACTGAGGCTTCAGGCGGAGCTGTGAGGTGGCACTCTTTCAGGCCAGAGCTGGGCAGCAGCCGGCCGAGGCCATCTCCCACGACACTGGCCACACTCGATCAGAAATGTCTTGGTTTTCTTTTCTGCCTTCTCTCTCCTCCTTTCCCTCCTAGAGGGAGGTGTGTGTGTGTGTATGTGTGTGTGTGTGTGTGAACACTCACCCCAGTACTGGGAATTGAACTCTGTGACTCTTGCCATGGCTGGTGCTCTACCCTTTGATCCACACCTTCACTTTCAGCTTTTTGCTGGTTAATTGGAGAGAAGAGTCTAGCAGATCTGTCTGCTGGGCCAGCTTTGAACTAGGATCCTTAGATTTCGTTCCTTAGTAGCTAGGATTAGGCGTGAGCTGGGGAGCAAGTGTCCCCACCCAGGCTGAGGCATCTGGACCCCGGGCACCACACGCCCACGCCCCCCACCGGTCACGCAGGAGAGGCACTGGGCCGTGTGCTCTGGGGGGCATGGAGAGCAGCAGAAGAGCCCTAGCACTTTGGGAACAGGGCCCCCCCACAAGGACTCGGTGGAGAAGGGATAAGAGGGAAGACTTCCATACAGCCCTGCGAGTTTGAGCCCGAGCAAGGGCAGCATGATTTTAAGAAGGAAAGGGGTGGAGTGGGGGGGGGGGCTGGGAGAGAGCTAGGGAAGGGGTGACATTGTCCAAATAGAAATATCCTCTTTACCTGACCTGAGTACTGTGACCCCTTTGTACATAGTAACAATTAAAAAAATGTAAAGAAGGAAAAAGGGCCAAACACTAGTAGCTTGGACCGTACTTCTAGCTGCTCAGGAGGCTGAGAGCAGAAGGATCATGGTTTCAGGCCAACCAGATTTGGGGCTGGGAATGCGGCTTGGTGGTAGAGTGCTGGCCTAGCATGCATGAAGCCCTGGGTTCCATTCCTCAGCACCACATACACAGAGAATGCCAGAAATGACGCTGTGGCTTGAGTGGTAGAGTGCTAGCCTTGAGCAGAAGCAGCAGAGGGATAGTGCTCAGGCCCTAAGTTCAAGCCCTGGGACTGGCAAAAAATAATAATAATAAAATAAATAAGCAGATTCATCTTGATGATGTGTTCCTGAAACGCAAATACGGTGCAATCTCCACGCAGCATGCAGCCTCACGCACATGGCCCCTCTGCCTCTGAGAAGCACGAGATGCTGATAGGCAGAAGGCAGGTGAGCGTATGGCCAGGGACCAGGGACGAGACACCCGCATCTCATCAAGGAAACCGGATCTGACAGATGAGCAAGCTCACAGCCCACGCTGTGGACTCTTATCCCCCACAAACAAATCTTTAAGTATGGAGCTGTCAAACATATTAAATAAATACTTACTAATAAATCTCAGGTCTCTAGCTCAAAAACAAAAATACCAAATTGTGGTTATTTTTTTTAAATAATGTTTTGAAAAAAAAATTTTTTTTTTTTTTTTGCTGGTCCTGGGGCTTGAACTCAGGGCTAGGAAACTGTCCTTAGATTATTTTGCTCAAGGCTAACACTCTACCATTTGAGTCACAACACTACTTCTGGCTTTTTCTGGGTAGTTAATTGGAGAGAAGAATCTCACAGACTTTCCTGCCCAGGCTGGCTTTGAACTGTGATCCTTAGATCTTAACCTCCTGAGTAGCTAGGATAACAGGGGTAAGCCACCAGCAGCTGGCTGAAAAAAAATTTTTTTTTGT